ACCGCTAATGCGTGTGTTCAAATGGAGGAACAATTTTTTTTTTTTTTTTGGTAATGCAATGTAATGTTTTTTTTTTAATTTTCAAGTAATGAAAAATTATGTTTTTTTTATTAAAATAGAAGTTTATTAAATTAAAATAGTTAAAAAAAAAGAAGTTTTATTAAATTAAAATAGTTAAAAAAAAACAAAAAAAAATATGTGTGGCACCACTCCCTTGGTGTGGCAAGAAACCACACTTAAGTGGTAAAAAATGACATGACGCTTATGTAGCGGGGAAGGGAGTGCGGTTTCGGTGGCACCACACCCTCCAGCCTTATTTTTCTTTTAAGACTGCAATCCAACGGCCTAGATTTGTTGTCAAGTTCCGGAAATATCATTGGTTAACACGGACCTCACACGGATTGTCATCTTGGATAATTTACTAGCGGCCAAATTGAAACCCAAATCCCCCAAATCATTTTCACAATTTGAATTTTTGCCGCTTATTCCCCCCAAATCCGTGTAGTATAAAATCCCCAAAAATCCTTTATCTTAGATCCACATCTAACACAGCAATCGTTTCAGAGCTTCGTTAATTTTCGCCTTTCACCAATCTTTTTTTAACATCCAAATGGCTCGTACCAAGCAAACAGCAAGGAAATCCACCGGAGGAAAGGCTCCAAGGAAGCAGTTGGCCACCAAGGCGGCAAGGAAGTCAGCTCCGGCCACCGGCGGGGTGAAGAAGCCACATAGATTCAGGCCTGGAACAGTCGCATTGAGAGAGATCAGGAAGTATCAGAAGAGCACTGAGCTTTTGATCAGGAAGCTTCCGTTCCAGAGGCTTGTGAGGGAAATCGCTCAAGATTTCAAGACAGATCTTCGATTTCAAAGCTCCGCCGTGGCTGCTCTGCAGGAGGCTTCCGAAGCTTACCTTGTTGGGCTATTTGAAGACACAAATCTGTGTGCGATTCATGCTAAAAGAGTCACCATCATGCCTAAGGATATGCAGCTCGCTCGTAGGATTCGTGGTGAGAGGGCTTAGACTTTGATTTCCAAAATTAGCATGTAGATCTTGATTAGTTTGGTTTGTTTGTTTGCGTTTTGTTTAATCTAATTATATTGAATGGAAATTACATTTTGGTGCTCATAAATGTCGTATTTGAATTGCATTGGTATGTTTCCAGTTTGTCTTTTTTTTCCCTTCCGAATAACAATTCAGTTGGAACAATGTATTTAACAACATATTTGTGGCAATCGTGATTTATTTGCAAACATGATTTTGTTTGTTATGTGTTTGCCTTCTTACAAAAAAGAAAATCTAAAATCTGTTTGGAATGATGTGTTTGTTTCATAAGGAATTTTCTACTGTTAGACTGGGAAAAAGCCTCTTCCTTTGTACATATGAATGAATTTTCCTTTCTGGCAAAGATCTGACAGATCCCCAGAAGCAAGTATGACACTCGAATTTTGGATCAAATCCGTGTGAATTCTGTCATCTTCTAAATTTGCAAACATCACATTTAAGCTAGACTATTGCATCATCGTCCTACAAAACTCATCATCAACATCTCGTTTTGCACACACAACTACCATAACATTCCAAGAGCTAAACAATATGCATTGCTTCTAACGCTTTTGACCTTCTGCTAAACAATCACATTCCCATGCATCAAAATCAATTCATTAAATGCATTATATGAATGAAAGTTTGTGTATTCATTCCCTGTAAAAATGATCATGTTCACCTAATATAGATCCTCAAAAACCATGCCTTTGAATCTTTTATATCATCACTGGGGACATTTCTAGCTAGTGGTTGCTTATCCCCAATAGAAGCTGCAGTCTTTCTCTCGATCACCTATTTCCTAAATCTCTCAACTAAAATCGGTTATTGCATTGAATAAGGTTCTCATAATGAATTAACTTGCTCATGCACGTCTATATAACTTGGACTCGATTCTTCATGGCAACTTGGGTTTGAACCAAAACTACTTTCCTTGTCATCACCATAACCCATGTAATAATGAAAACAAACAAAACAACTCAACTACTAGTGCCTTAGTAGCTTTGCAACTCCTTTCGATACAAGTACGAATCATGTGTTTCCGGTAGTTCAAGCCTATACTATCTTTCACGCCTACGCATACTCGTCTCAAAAATTGCCTCGAAGTTCCCACGTCACTACACATGATAACCATAAAGCAATTTAACACCTATAAGTGTGTCCAAAACAACCACACATAGTACATTTTTTTTCCTAGACACCACACGTAGTTCAAGCCTATACTATCTTTCTAGTTTTTTTCTCACATGTACATAATCAGTCAACATAAGACTCATTATCACCGAAGAAATACTTCAATCATGTAAAAGACCCAAGAATACCAAGTCAAACCAACGTGTTCATTTTTATTCAAGAGGATCCTGCGAATATTGGACTTATTGTTGCTTAGACTAGACTATAAATACACATGTATTTTGTACACAACCGACACCTAAAGTAACTGCAACTAATCTACTCGTATATTGATCATTTGATTTGTAACTCATCTTTTCAATTAATAAAAACTAACAATGCAGGTGATTTATCACCTCCAAAGGTTTTGTGTCGGAGATCATAGCAAAGGATCAAAGACTTTCATTGTAAACCACTTGTGCAACCTACTTTTGGTTTGTAAAAAAAGGGGAAGAAGGGTCTGTGTTCTTCAGGCTTGTGGAAAGGAACCAAAGACGACGTGGATTTGTAAACATGTGTGTGTGTGTGTTTGTGTTTGTGTTTATGTGTTTAAAGAAAAAACTCAAATCGATTCCATCAGAGAGAGAGAGAGAGAGAGAGAGAGAGAGAGAGAGAGAGAGAGAGAG